CTGCGTAAGGATAGCACCCACCACCCAAAAGCCACAAGCCACAAGGAATCAGCCAGGCGAGTGATTATAATCAGCCAGGCATTTACATTCATACTTGTTGAAGTCCCCTTACACCACCACAGATTGCGCGTCACGTCGCGCTATCGGCAAGCAGGTATGTATGTTGTTACAGGGTGGTTAACTTCGCCAGCGGCCCCCTTTCCCGGGGCAGTCCCTGCTCTCCCCTGCTAGAGGGGCACCCTAATCCGTCACCCCATCCGACTTCAGAATGTATTCGTTGGGTTCGGCAACTCACCACCAGCATCCAACCAAATCTAGCGGATCAACGGCGCATCAACTTAGTTCCTGGTCAGCTCGCAAGTTGATATTATCACGTCCTACACCGTCCATAAGATGGGGGGCCACCTCCCATTTCATCACTCCTCAAACACCCGAGGAGCCGGCAGGCGGATTTGAACCCGGGTCGACTGGGTCAACTGGGAGCAGAAGTCAGGCCTTAACCTCTGCCAGCCGCCTGCCTATATGCAGGTATGTATGGTCACACAGATATGCATGGTCACACAGATGTGTATGGTCACACAGATATGTATGGTCACACAGATATACACTTCCTGGCCACATGCCCGGGAAAAATAAAGAGCTAATGAGGCGGGCATGCGTTGGCTGTAGATGTGGTGTATACGTATTTGGCCCAATCGTCGGGGGTGCGTGTGTACGCACGTCCTGTACGATTTGTACGTGTACGGTGTACGGTGTACGGGAAATTCTCGGCACGCGCGTAGCTGCATGTCTGTGTGGGTGTGGCGCAGTGGTTAGCGCGTAGGTCTCATAGCTGTTTTCGTGCTGTGACTTGGACTATTCTGAGGTCGAGGGTTCGACACCCTCCACCCACAACCGCTCGTGTAGCTCAGTGGAAGAGCACCCGTTTAGTAAGCGGGAGGTCTGGAGATCAAAACTCGACATGAGCAGCACATCGTTGCGCGGGACATATCCGCTCTGGCTTTTTCATAACATGATCCATCCTGGTGTGTACGTGTGCGTGTATGTATGTGTGTGTACGTGTACACGTTGGTGCATGTGTACATGGGGTATTTGGTCGTAGCTAGCCAGAACATGCATGCCGGGACAGCACAGCAGCAACACGAAGGCGGCAGCATGGAATTATTCATCCCTTGCTTGTGCCTGTTGCTGGTCCCTGCCGTTGGACACGTACTCGTAATGCACGAAATGCTGCAGTCAGCCGTGTGTAGCCTTTTCTAGGCGTTTAGGGTTTCAAGGACCCTAAAAACCCTAGAAACACTAGCTATCACCGCAAAAAGCAGCTATTCAACGACTAGCATCGGTTGAGTAGATCGGTGAGGTTTTGGTTGTTGGCTGTGACCATGGATGGCACTCGTGCATGCAGGATCTGCATTTTCTGAGAGACACAGCGCGACGAACACTACAAATATGTAGCACATGTAGCCGACAGGGGAACGGTTGCCTCCACCTAAACCAGAGCCTAACAGGACACGTACATAACCAAATACATGCACGAATAATGCACGAAATGCTGCAGTCAGCCGTGTGTAGCCTTTTCTAAGCGTTTAGGGTTTCAAGGACCCTAAAAACCCTAGAAACACTAGCTATCACCGCAAAAAGCAACTATTCAACGACTAGCATCGGTTGAGTAGATCGGTGAGGTTTTGGTTGTTGGCTGTGACCATGGATGGCACTCGTGCATGCAGGATCTGCATTTTCTGAGAGACACAGCGCGACGAACACTACAAATATGTAGCACATGTAGCCTACAGGGGAACGGTTGCCTCCACCTAAACCAGAGCCTAACAGGACACGTACATAACCAAATACATGCATGCAGCACGCAGCCAATCACAACCGCATTGACGTGACAATATCCAAGACTGCTGCCAGGTGCAACGTGAAGCGACCGACTAGTGGCCAGTGAGATGCAAGTGGGTGCCGACATCCGGGCCTAACAGGGGTGAATTTTATTGCCACCAGTGCTGCCGCCGCTGCACATGCCTGGACCAGCCCCCAGTTCATTGTTGTCGTGGCCATGCTAGCGGCTGCTGCACCAGCAGCCAGCGAAACGTTGCCATCAGAATCATTGTGCTGCATCCCTCTCGTACATGTGCTTTCGTTCAAGCCAAGGCTGCGTAAGGATAGCACCCACCACCCAAAAGCCACAAGCCACAAGGAATCAGCCAGGCGAGTGATTATAATCAGCCAGGCATTTACATTCATACTTGTTGAAGTCCCCTTACACCACCACAGATTGCGCGTCACGTCGCGCTATCGGCAAGCAGGTATGTATGGTCACACAGATATGCATGGTCACACAGATGTGTATGGTCACACAGATATGTATGGTCACACAGATATACACTTCCTGGCCACATGCCCGGGAAAAATAAAGAGCTAATGAGGCGGGCATGCGTTGGCTGTAGATGTGGTGTATACGTATTTGGCCCAATCGTCGGGGGTGCGTGTGTACGCACGTCCTGTACGATTTGTACGTGTACGGTGTACGGTGTACGGGAAATTCTCGGCACGCGCGTAGCTGCATGTCTGTGTGGGTGTGGCGCAGTGGTTAGCGCGTAGGTCTCATAGCTGTTTTCGTGCTGTGACTTGGACTATTCTGAGGTCGAGGGTTCGACACCCTCCACCCACAACCGCTCGTGTAGCTCAGTGGAAGAGCACCCGTTTAGTAAGCGGGAGGTCTGGAGATCAAAACTCGACATGAGCAGCACATCGTTGCGCGGGACATATCCGCTCTGGCTTTTTCATAACATGATCCATCCTGGTGTGTACGTGTGCGTGTATGTATGTGTGTGTACGTGTACACGTTGGTGCATGTGTACATGGGGTATTTGGTCGTAGCTAGCCAGAACATGCATGCCGGGACAGCACAGCAGCAACACGAAGGCGGCAGCATGGAATTATTCATCCCTTGCTTGTGCCTGTTGCTGGTCCCTGCCGTTGGACACGTACTCGTAATGCACGAAATGCTGCAGTCAGCCGTGTGTAGCCTTTTCTAGGCGTTTAGGGTTTCAAGGACCCTAAAAACCCTAGAAACACTAGCTATCACCGCAAAAAGCAGCTATTCAACGACTAGCATCGGTTGAGTAGATCGGTGAGGTTTTGGTTGTTGGCTGTGACCATGGATGGCACTCGTGCATGCAGGATCTGCATTTTCTGAGAGACACAGCGCGACGAACACTACAAATATGTAGCACATGTAGCCGACAGGGGAACGGTTGCCTCCACCTAAACCAGAGCCTAACAGGACACGTACATAACCAAATACATGCACGCAGCAAGCAGCCAATCACAACCGCATTGACGTGCCAATATCCAAGACTGCTGCCAGGTGCAACGTGAAGCGACCGACTAGTGGCCAGTGAGATGCAAGTGGGTGCCGACATCCGGGCCTAACAGGGGTGAATTTTATTGCCACCAGTGCTGCCGCCGCTGCACATGCCTGGACCAGCCCCCAGTTCATTGTTGTCGTGGCCATGCTAGCGGCTGCTGCACCAGCAGCCAGCGAAACGTTGCCATCAGAATCATTGTGCTGCATCCCTCTCGTACATGTGCTTTCGTTCAAGCCAAGGCTGCGTAAGGATAGCACCCACCACCCAAAAGCCACAAGCCACAAGGAATCAGCCAGGCGAGTGATTATGATCAGCCAGGCATTTACATTCATACTTGTTGAAGTCCCCTTACACCACCACAGATTGCGCGTCACGTTGCGCTATCGGCAAGCAGGTATGTATGGTCACACAGATATGCATGGTCACACAGATATGTATGGTCACACAGATATACACTTCCTGGCCACATGCCCGGGAAAAATAAAGAGCTAATGAGGCGGGCATGCGTTGGCTGTAGATGTGGTGTATACGTATTTGGCCCAATCGTCGGGGGTGCGTGTGTACGCACGTCCTGTACGATTTGTACGTGTACGGTGTACGGTGTACGGCAAATTCTCGGCACGCGCGTAGCTGCATGTCTGTGTGGGTGTGGCGCAGTGGTTAGCGTGTAGGTATCATAGCTGTTATCGTGCTGTGACTTGGACTATTCTGAGGTCGAGGGTTCAACACCCTCCACCCACAACCGCTCGTGTAGCTCAGTGGAAGAGCACCCGTTTAGTAAGCGGGAGGTCTCGAGATCAAAACTCGACATGAGCAGCACATCGCTCTTGCGCGGGACATATCCCTTGCTTGTGCCTGTTGCTGGTCCCTGCCGTTGGACACGTACTCGTA